GACTGAAATGTTTTCAGGAGATTTGTGGCCAAATGCGGAGCAAGCTGGAGCGATACTGAATAGTCTGAAGTAAGTCAAATTCGATGAAAAGACTGTATAGGACAGTTGTGGATAGACAGACCACTACTAATGGGACATGTATCTCCTGATATTCTAATTCAATCGAACTAGAAGTCACAGAGGACATAGTCTGGCTGTTGTAATGATAAATGGATGGTCCTGTAATACTTATTCGCATGACAGATGGCTATTGCCCGTGATAATAGCAGTAAAATAATGATCTAGTTAGTAGATGTGTTTTGTCATTCAGTTTGTAAATTATAATTTCATGTTTAAACTATCTGCAGTTGTCTCGGATAGTAAGACTAGAGAAATTTGTTGAATTAAATAATCTCAAGTTTGCCCACCGACTGGTATCAGTTAGAAGATCATTAAAAACCAGCACTAGAGTACCTACTGGACAGCCGTTTCGTCCTGGTTTGGAACGGCGATGACAGTGGTTGATGCCAGTCGTGCTAAAATCACGAATTGGTACAAGTTAGAATTCATGGGTTGACCATTGAGTTGTGTCTCAGTGGCTGAATATTCTGTGAGCCTTCCCTGTGACCGAAAAGTCATTGGTTCGAAGCCGGGTAGTGACTGTGTACTTCCAAAGAATCTCAAAGTAGGATAAAACAGCTGTCCAGTACTCCATGATAGTTTCCAATGATACTCTAAATGAATTCGGTTCACGATCAAACCAGGAATATAAGTCTGTCGAATAGATTGCAAATACCAAATGAATTTATACAACTTCTTGATTCGCGTTGCCTTTCTACAAAGTGAAGACATAATAGTACTCATCAAAGGTTGAGTTAGAAAGAAAGAGAACTCAACTGGAACGTTACACACGACCGAAAACTACCCTTAGGTAAACAAATTCAAAACACAAGAATAAGTAAATTTACAAAAAAAGAAAAAACAAGTTTCTCCAACAATTAAGCCAAAACACTGGTTCCGATTTGAGAGAAAAATCTATCCATTATACTTGAAAAGTTCAAATCCCACAAAATTATCGGTAATTACAGCAGGTTGCCACTAGCAACCACGGATTTTGACATAAACAATTATAGTGGTATTTTACGCTTGTATTGAAAAGAAAACCCAGTGACCCATTCAACAGTCACGAAAACCACGGGAAATGAAATTTATCTCAAAAATTAATAAAACAAGTCAGGAAATGAGCTAAAGAATTGTGCTGTTGAAGGAAATCATCGGGGTCATGATAAATGTAGGTAATTCAGAAATAGATAATCGGAGATAGTCCATATTGTTTTAAATGACACAATATCAGTGTTAATTATGTTATTGATAGTTATATATATATATATATTTTAAGTGAAACAGAAATGGATTCAGTAGATTTCGCTATTGAAAAGTTTACTTTTGAAAGTCCCACCATTACCGACATCTTAAAAATCTTGGTTTGAAAAATTTAATGGCTTTGCTTAAAGGATTTCATCATGATTTACCAAGGAAGATTTAATGTGATGCCGAATTGTTTTTGAACGCATAAAGGTGGTCTAAACTTCTTCATTGCCAGCTGGGGCTTCCACAAACTTTAGGATACTCCCCAAACACGTTTAATAAACAGGTTTAAAAGATTTGTTAATGTCAATTTTATGTCCTGTCTCTGTAATATGTTTCACAATAGAAGAGCCAGGTCTCCTGTTCTCACCGTTAATAGGTTCTGAAGATTCTATTTGTTTATGGAGCCACTAAGGAATATGCTCTGAAGCCAGCCCTTACTCGCTGAGATCGATGAGTCCTCCCTATGTATGTGTGTCCACACGTACATTCTAATTGGTAAATACAGTGCGATGTTGTTATGTACTCGTCGCTAAATTATTGTTATGTACTGGTCGAGAATTTAATAGTCCTGACGCAAGAAAGCGGATGAGACGTTGGAAGGGTAATTTGCAAATCAATAATTCAGTGCTCTTCTGGTAACGACGGATTTCACGTAGGGCAACGGTTCCAGGCCTATATCTGTGTGGTTTCTTAACACCACCGGTAGATGGTGCACTCTTACGGGCAGCCTTGGTGGCTAGCTGCTTTCCTGGGGCCTTTCCTCCAGTTGATTTGCGAGCAGTCTGCTTTGTACGAGCCATAGCGAAACACCGAGAGACAATGACCATATATATATATATATATATATATATATATATGGATACATATCAGATGTGACATCATTTTTCGCATGTTCGAAGGGCTTAGATAGATATAATGGCTTTACATTCTCTATTATAATATTAGCTGCATAAAAAGTCTTTTCAACAGCAGCGTTCAGTCTTTTTCTAGTTATCAAGCTGCTTTGATGTCCCATGTAGGGTAGCTTGATGTACACGTCTTTCTTAGGGGCGAGTTGGAAAGTGGATCTTGGTGTTCTGACTACTTTATATCTCCTGATGAACTTGTCTGGATAATTGTTATCAACCAAACAGAGTTTGTGTCACCTTTCTTTCTTCTTCATTAAGTGTGTCTTCAGGGCATACTCGTTGGATTCTACTGAAGAGACACCTTACTAAGGCTCTTTTGTATCGAACAGGGCAGAAACTGTAGTAATGCGTTCAAGGCAACAATTCGTCATCACATTAAACCTTCTTCTTTGGTAAATTTTGTTTCGATACCCATAGCAGATGTACCCCATTACCTCTGCTATTTGGTTTAATGGTCTTCATTGTTATTTCATCATGAGTTGACATCTGTCAGGGGACCATTGGAAAACCAGCCAGGGAGTACTGCATGACTGTTCCACCCTAGTTTGGAACTCTTTGGCTGAACATATCTCCCGAGGTTCGAACGCGGGACTTTCTGGTTACAAGGCGAGCTGACAGACCGTTTAGCCTCTTGGATCCGATCTAATAGTCCATGAATTCCAACTTCTGCTTCTATTGAACACACACCAGCATTATGTAAAATATTTGATGCAATGATCCATCCATATTGACTTTTTACTGTGGCCTTCAAATTAAATATTATTTGGCGCAGTGGTTAGGACTCTCGCCGACCATGAACATGGTTCGGGGGTTCGATCCCCTGCCGACCCACAACTGATATCTATGGTCGGCCTGCAAAATTTGGGCTACCGATATCAATGCTGAAAATTCCATACTTGTACCAAAAATACGGTGTGGAATCAAGCGGTAATCAAAAAAAAACAAACAAATATCTGAAATTGCTTGCTATCTGAGTTAGGTGGCGTCCCCTACCTCACAGATTTTCTCTAATATCAGTTTTCAAAACTTAGAGTGCCATGGAGACGAGTGCCTAGTAAAGTGCGAATTTTTTGATATGGTCGCTAACTGAAGGCTTACAGAAAACGTTTACAAGTCGCTATTAGAATGATGACCTGTAGCGCATATTTACTTATAAAGTACTTGGCATGCAAAACTTAAGAAGCTTTTGAAATGAAGAAAGGAGCAATACAAGGCCGACTACTATTACTATATTCCTGATTGTGTTTGACAGGATTATGCGTCAGACTGTGTATGGGAGTGAGAAGACAGGAATACCCTGGACCACCGATAGGGAGACTTTAGAAGATCTGGATTAGGCAGATGATTCATGCTCAATGTCACACAAACTCGAAGACTTACAGGCGGAAACTAACAAACCGGCTGAAAGGCAGCGAAGACGACAAGACAAAGGTGATAAATACAACCAACCAACCAACCAACAGCAACAACCAGCACCAATCACTTTCAACAAGAGGACTTTGGAAGAGGTAATTTCCTGTCTTCATTTAATCTAGGAAGCACCGTTTCAAACACAGTCAGCGAAACGGTTAAAGATTTCAAAGCCAGTCAGGATCATAAGGGCAACGTACACTTCCATCATTCGGAAATCTTCTGCCGTCACTCAGCATACAGAACAAGATTCGGATTTTCAACATCAGTGTTAGGTGATTCAATTCTTCCATATGGGTTAGAAACTTGGCCATTACGTCATGGCAAGTATTTGCAACAGCCAGTTACAGACTTTCATGAACAGTTGCCTTCACTGGCTCCATACTGAAGATCAGATAGCCGGCTAGGAACGATTAGAAACTACTAACTCTGGTTGCGAACGAAGCAGTCAATTACCCAATGAACAACAAATATTCCATAGGAAATGGAGATGGTTTGGACATACGCTGGTGAAACCGCTGAGTGAAACTCGAATAGGAAAACGCAAGCTGGAGCAGATCGTACGAAGAGGGGATGAAAGCTTGTGGGTAATCGTGGATCCAGCTAAAGAGGACTGCAGAGAATAGGACAAAGTGGGGATGTGCTGTTTTAGCCCAATGTTCCACTCAAAAACCATCAGAATAATAACTAAACTAAATAGTGCATATTATTGTAAAATTCCACACTTACATCCATTTACAAAATGCAAGTTTACCAAAAAAATCAATTTCAAGCAGTTTAATATAATTTAATTGGTGAATAGTGACTAGCAGTGGAATCCAGGATACACATTTCGTCCTATTCGGGACTCGTCAGCTTGATGTACCTGCATCCCCAGTGAGTGATGATGTTCTCACCGGGGCTCGAACCCAGCGCCCACAGTTTGCCCAAAGTGTTATCCACTAGACCACTTGAGCCACCGGAAAGCCACCTCTTGTGCAACGGATCGTATTAACTATTTATTTGAATTTTAGATTTTCCCGTCGATTGATTGAACCGAAATGCTTGATCTCAGATCGACATGTCGGCTTCTTGTTCAGATGCTTCAAAGATGTCTTGGCATGTAATGAGAATTCAAATGACGACTCCCAGATAGGACGAAACGCGCATCCTACCAACTAACTTCTAATTTGCATGCTCAGACATCGTCGAAGCATCTGCACAAGAAGCCGACATATCAACTCCGGTCCAATCAATCGACAGGAAAATCTAAAATTAAGTAGTTTAATATTAGCAAACAAGTCATAATGTAAATAAATTACCAGCTCTTTTTCGCTTCACAACACCACTTACCTGTCTGTAAGTGTCCTCTATTGTCGGTATGTATGTTTCACGAAATGTTCCACGTACAAAACGAAGCACAAGGGATGTTTTACCAACTCCACCAGAACCAAATACAGCTACACGATAATCTGTCGGTTGTTCCGGCATATTTTACTGAAAACTGTACAGTTAAAAAAGGAGAAATATAAAAAATAGATATATTACGTACTGCTTTTGCTGTTAACTCAAGTTTAGGTATCATCCTCATCTACTAGTGAAGTATTTGATTAGGAAGGTCGGTTGAAATGTCACATGAGAGTTTCTCATAAAAACTGCCTCATTTTAAGCCGGTATACACTTCTGTAGCCTGAAGTTCTTGAACTACCAGTTCAACTGCATTTTTTAGCCATATCACTAGCCTAATATAAGACTAGAACTTTGTCACTGTGGCAGAATGTAATTCCATATTAGATAAGTTTATTTTAGAGGATCACACAGTAATGAAGTATTAACAATTGGACGATGTTTCGAGCAGAAATTATAGCCTCCCATAGGCGTATCAATTTATTCACAAGGCTTCATAATATTTCTCTTCCCTCGGTTTTTTTGTTGCCACTTTCCATACATCCAGTATAGTCAGAAGACCCGAGTAATGAAACCAAACAAATATAGGACGTAATGGTTTGTAGGGATTTGGTCTACGAGCTCGCCTAGTAACCAGAAGGTGCTGGGTTCGAAACCTGGCAGTGGGCGCGTACTGATGAAGAGTCCCAAGACAAGAATGAAACATCTGTCCAGTACTCCCAGGTTTTCCAATAGTTCTCTAACCGATGTCAGCTCATGATGAAATCCTGTAACCAAATAGAGCAAGTATTACTAGTGAATAACTACCCGCCAGAATTTATTCAGAAATGCAAAAAGAACCATAGGAAAAATAAGATTAGTAGTAAAAGTGACGAAAATAATGAAAATAATATAGAACTCAAGGTCTCTATAGTATTGCTGTATAAGGAAGCAGTGTCAGAGGCCTTAAGTAGAGTTCTCCATGAGGCTGGAATTAGTTGGAGTGGCATTTAAACCAACCAAACCAACTGCCTCAAAGATAAACTTTGGCACCTTATGAACCCAATAGATCCGACTGAGAAACGCAATATAATATGCAATACACCGAGTAGTGACTGTGAGGTCAGTTTCGTAGGCCAGTGAAACTAGTAGATTGGCGTCACCTAGATTATCGGAACATTATTGGAATTTAGCTAGACCTTGAATAATTTACCCTGCTAAGTTACTTAGATAACCTGAAAAAAACAGAGTTCAGTCATTGCATTGTATTCACTTGCATGTAATCACACAATAGGGTTTGGTTAGTGGGATAGCGTGAAACTATTAAAGCGTAATACAACTCAGAGGGAAATAGGAGAGGTTAGTCACTGAATCGTATATCCTCGAGTCATTCTGAATCACTGACTGGAGGATTAAATTGTGAGAAATGGTATAAATCTCAACTGTCTGACTGTCAACACTCTCCCTATTCACAACTCTTCCCGTGTAGCATATCAACAATTAGAACTAGAAGCCGTTATCAAAGATTATATGCTTGCTCGCACAATCAAGTATAAAAACCCATCGATACCCTGTTTGGTCTGCTCGCATTCGATGTGACCAAAGATAGTGAAACTTATCAATTACTGTACAATTAGCATTTAGAAAAATGACTCAGTTATTCTCCGGTATTTGTAATTTTATCGTTACACTCACTATCTCCATCACATTATAATTTTGTATCATTAATTTTATTTACCTTCACGTTCCCCAGGGCGGAAACTAAGGCTCCAAGCTAGTGGCTTGAAGTTTCTGTAGCAGTGTTTATTTTTACAGGATGGAGTTGCTATCCCCATGCCCAACCTTTCCTCTTTACCAGCATTATTTCTGTCTCAGCAAGGTAAAGGAGTGAGTCGGTGGCCGGGGATCGAACCCCAGACCATGTGCATGGTCGGCGAGTGTCCTAACCGCTACACCACGGACGCACACAAGGGTACGTTTCAGCCATCGACAAAATTTGTTGATGGCTGTTATCAATTTTAGTTAAGTGTACCGTGTAATATATATATTTTTTTATTGTTGTTGTGCAAATTAGATGCAGGAATATTGTACCAAATGCTGAAAATTGCTCCTTGTATGATACGTACTGTTTTGGAATAAAGCAAATTATTGTCATTGCTATTATTAAACAAGGTGCCACTTCACGATTCTCAAGGTTCAGAGGCCTTCGACTGCTTAGCGTGGCTAAGTCACTCGTCATAAAAAATTTTCTATGAAATCGCTGTGTTCAGGAAAAGTTTGTCCAATCCGTTTCTCCCACCACACAAACAAACTAGAATAGTAATCTCCTCTAGTGACACCGGATAAATGTAAATATTGTTTTTATGCGTACCCCCAACTTTATTCCCGATATTGTATTGTGTTGTAGCTGCATATTTCAAAATTGAATTCACAGTTCATTATTATTATTTCTACTCTACTGATTCACATTATCTCAAATGTCTATCACGGATATTTTATTATGCACCTGTAAAGATTGATGAGAATCTACCGGCAATACCTTTTTGCTCGTTTAGGTAGCGTCCTATTGTGGTGGTGTGATAAAAACAATGTGTTCGAACGGAATATTACTATTATTTCCTTTAATTCCTAGAGGAACATATGGCTTCAGCCACGCGTCTCCATTGCATCCGGTTTCCTGCCAACTTTTTCACTCCGCTACAAGTCTGCCCACATGCTTCCATCTCCTCTTCACATGACCTCCTACAAGTCACCCTTGCACTGACGACCAACTCGCCGCCCGCTTCCCTTTCAGGTTCCTCTCGAGCAATGGCTTGTCTAGTGATGTCACTTGATGGTTTGTTTCTTCCTGCCTATTTGTTTCACAATCGGTTCCTGGTTGGTTGGTTTGGTCATCGACAGAGATCCCTGTTCCTGATCTCTTCTGGCCGGCCATCTGATCTTGAGCGAAGTAGTGAGCGAAGACAACTGTTAATGAAGGTCTGAAGTTTGTTTGAGATGCTCTTTATGACGCTCTGGCCAAGTCTGTGATCCGTATGTTAACTAGCACTGACTGACTTCACATTGGAGTTGAAATTCCGGATCTTATTTTTGTTGCTGAGCAGTTCTGTTGACCTCCACATAGACTTGATAGTAATGAAAGCTTGTCTTGCTTTCCCGATGATCCTCGATTTGATATCCTCGTCAGTTCCGTCCGCCTGTAGTTGAAACGATGCTTCCCTGGTCGGTGGGTAGGTAAAGGAGATTGTTTCTTTCAGGTTCCTCCCATTTATGCTGGCTGATTGTTGTTTGTTATGGTTGCTGTGGCTGTTCTTGTTCGCCAGGAATGTTCATCACCTCCGTTTTCTCTATGTTCACCTCTAGTCCTATCTCTGATGCTTCTTGTGACAGCTTTTGCTTTTCACTTGCATATCTTCCAGTTTGTGGGAAATCAGACATATATCATCGGCGAAGTCCAGATCCTCCAAGTTCTTTTTTGTGTGAGTCCATTTTATGTCTGTTTCCTCATAGCTCGCTGTCTGTCGCATTATCCGATCTACTGCAATCAGGAAAATCATCGGCGATAGACGATAGTAGGCAGCCTTGTCTTACTGCCATCCTCACTTCGAAGGATTCCGTAGGTTTCCCGTTGTGGATTACTTGGCATCCAGCATTGTCGTATAACTGTTGGATGAGATGTATAATTGTCCGCAGCAACCCGTAGTAGCGAAGTAATTTTCAAATCACCTCTCGATGGACGCTGTGGAAGGCCTTTTCAAAGTCGATGAAGTTGAGATAGAGAGGTGACTGTTATTCCAAGGAAATATTATTCTCACATATTCCCACAGTTCAGTAGTGCATTATTATTATTATTACTATTATTGTATCCTTTAGTTCCTAGAGGAACATAGGGCTTCAGCTGCGCACCTCCATTGCCTTCGGTTTTCTGACAACTTTTTCACCCTGCTCCAGGTCTGTCCACACGCTTTCATCTCCTCTTCACACCACCTCCTCCAAGTCACCTTTGCACTGACGACCAACTCGCCGCCTCCCTTTCGGGTTCCACTCGAGAGCTTGTCTAGTGATGTCACTTGATGGTTTCCTCAGCGTATGGCCAATCCATCTCCATTTCTTCCTGCCTATTTGTTGCACAATCGGTTCCTGGTGGGTTGGTTCGCTCATCAACAGAGATCCCTGTTGCTGATATTTCTTCTGGTTGGCTATCTGATTTTCAGTACTGAGCGAAGACAACTGTTGATGAAGGTCTGTAGTTTGTTTGAGATACTCTTTATGACGCTCTGGCCAAGTCTCTGATCCGTATTGTAGCACTGACTGACTTCACACTGGAGTTGAAAATCCGGATCTTACTTTTGATGGTGAGTGCTGTTGACCTCCACACAGATTTGAGAGTAATGAAAGCTTGTCTTGCTTTTCCGATTCTGGCTTTGATGTCCTCGTCAGTTCCGCCTGTAGTTGAGACGATGCTTCCCAGGTAGGTGAAGGAGGTTGTTTCTTTCAGGTTCTTCCCACTTATGCTGATTGTTGTCTGTTGTTGTTGCTGTTGATGTTGGCTAGGAATCTTCATCACCTCTGTTTTCTCTATGTTCACGTGAAGTCCTATCTTTGATGCTTCTTCTGCCAACTTGTTACTTTTCACTTGCATTAGCAACAAAATATTTTACATGCATTTGAAAACCATCCCCCCCCCAATAATTGGTTAAAAAATATACAACTATATATATATATATATATATATATATATACAGCGGTTTGATCACTTGAAAATATACCTTGGCTTCTGTGTCTTGTCTTCTCTTGTTACAATATTATTATTTTTGTTCTTATCATGTTACATTTGTGCACTATTTTGACCCTACTGTTTCTATTAATGCCAAAATTTCTTGATGGATGGTTATCAATAATCTCAGTTAAATGTACCCTTTAGTGCATTTTGTTGTTGTTATTGTTGCTGCCGCTGAGTAAATCAGTTGCAATATTTTACCAAAATTCTAAGAATTTAATCCGGACTCTATGATAAGTGCGTCCGTGGCATGCTCGCTGACCATGTACATGGTCCGGGGTTCGATCTCCGGCCACCGACTCACTCCTTTACCTCGCTAAGCCAGAAATAACCCTGGT